CTCTGACTCTATAGCCAGATATCTGAATCACTTAAGTTATCCAGCAGTTTGTTCTATGGTGGTAGACCAGGCCGCTGGGAAGTCTGGGCGAAGGGGCACACCTTCTAATTTGGTTTCTTAGGACAAAATAGAGTCACCTTGCCCTAATGACAGCCCTGGATGCATATTATGACAGCTGGCTCCTCCAGCTCAGTCCCCTACAGCAGTGGTCCCCAATCTTGGCCCTCCAGATGTTCTTGGACTTCGACTCCCGGAAATCCTGGCCAGCAGAGGTGATGGTGAAGGCTTCTGGGAGTTGTAGTCCAAGAACATCTGGAGGCCCAAGGTTGGGATCACTGCCCTACAGTATTTGGGATTTTTTGCTTCTCCATCCTTGGGCTCTGATACAACTGAAGTCAGTCTTGCCAGCTGGTCAGCCGCATCTCCTAAGACTTTGCAGCCAAAAAAACCAGGAGTTACCTCAATCATGCCCTTAGTGCCATTAATACTCGCTCGATTGGGCATCTTAGCTGTCATGGTGCAGGTGAGAACAGCCTGACGGTGACGCGAATAATTCAGGATGATGGAAACTGTTTTGTCTACCCCTGAGAAGAACAAAATCTTGCCAGCTGGTCAGCCGCATCTCCTAAGACTTTGCAGCCAAAAAAACCAGGAGTTACCTCAATCATGCCCTTAGTGCCATTAATACTCGCTCGATTGGGCATCTTAGCTGTCATGGTGCAGGTGAGAACAGCCTGACGGTGACGCGAATAATTCAGGATGATGGAAACTGTTTTGTCTACCCCTGAGAAGAACAAAATGCAGACAGCTCATCAGAAATCTTTACTCAGACTTTTGGTGAAACAGTCTTCTCTCATCAGATACATAAGCAGCTTCTTAAATTCAAATTTTAAATTTTAATATGTTAAAACTTTCATTTGAATATTTGTCTTCCATATTTTCCTCACAGAGCCCTCATTCTACCTCAGGTTGGCTCACAACTCCCCCTTCCTTTCAAATTTCCTGGAAATGTCTCTGACTTTACCCTTGGATATAGCAGAGCAATTGGTGAGATAAATATTTTTCTATGTTTATTCCACATTGAAAGCATATTATTTAAAGAATGGATTTTCAAGATTATTTTACTATGTTTTATTATATTGTACAGAAATATTTTCAGGATTCAGATATAATTTTTGTATTCCTTATCCAAGCATACAGTATTAGGACTGAGATATAACATCAAGAGTGTGTATTATTTGATTGGCTGTATAATAAAACCTTAAATTAGGAAGACCCAGCCCTACTATTATTTGTGATTTATACCATCTCTTCTCATTAATATCTAACTTTTTAATCTCCATTACAAAATTTATTAAACATGTTTTACCAGTTTTTTACATTTCTTCAGTTTTCTTTACCAATTACATCATAAATAAACAAATTATCTTCAGTAAAATCTTCATTTTACATGCTGCTATTCTACCAAACCATGAAAGTCCAATTTTCCTAAAATCATCTAATTTATGTTTAACATCTTGCTTCAATTTTAATTTTCCCTTTATTTCAGTCTTTTAAAATTTATTAGAATATTTATACATAAATACTTGACAGAGTTTTGAATATTAATATCAAATTCTTTCCTAATTATTTCTTTTTCATCTTTACTATAAACATCATTACATCCAATTTATGCCCATTTATTTGTAAACCAATTATCTCTCCAGATTCTTTCAAATGTACTCTTACTCCATCCATGATCTTTAATGGGTTTTCAATTGTTATTAAAGTATTATCGGCAAATAAACTAATTTTAATTCTGTGTATTCGTGAGGCTTTTCACGGCTGGGATCTAATGGTTGTTGTAGGTTTTTCGGGCTCTTTGGCTGTGTTCTGAAGGTTGTTCTTCCTAACGTTTTGCCAGTCTCTGTGGCCAGCATCATATCACAACAATACACCTATAACAAAAACACACATGATCACCCATGTCCTGAAAAGGACAAAAGCTGATCCAACAGTTATAAATACTCAACTCCCAAACAAACTGCATCAGAGCACAGAGTGCTACTCCTGTGCTCTGAATATGCTAGCCACAGAGAATGGCGAAACATTAGGAAGAATAACCTTCAGAGCATGGCCAAAGAGCCCGAAAAACCCACAACAACCATAATTTTAATTCTATTTTTAATACCAATACCATGAATTAATTTATCTCCTCAAATAACATTTGCTAACAATTCTACAACTAAAAGAAATAATACTGGGGAAAGGGGACAACTTTATTTAGTATGATGGCCTCGTGTCATTCCACTATTTATTAATATTGCTGCAGTGTTCTCGGAATATAATTGATCTATCATACCATTAAATCATTTCCCCAAGCCTAAAATTGTTATTAGCATTTTAATGTTGCCTGTTCCACTCAATCAGGTGCCTTAAAAATATCTAGTGAGATTAAGCATGCCTTCACCTTCTGTTTTATTTCATTTGCTGCTCTTTCTGGTGAAAACACAACTAAATGAGTGCTAACCTGTATTGTGCAGAAATCCTGATGCCAGAATGGATTCTGGTTTCTCTCCATTGAAGACCATACAGGCAAACTGGATGCAGTAGCACCCGATATCCAAAAGGCCACCTCCCCCAAGCTCTTTCTCCACACATCTGGGGATGGAGAGCTGTGGGCTCCCAAATTCGGCATGGAGCACCATGACATCTCCAATAGA